GGAAAGAACACTCATATACCAGGAGTCACATAGGGGGTGGTTTTTGGTCCCTCAATGTGTGGATAATGGGGACTCCCCTAATCCTCCAATAGGCATCCCTTTATGTGACTCCTGGTGTTTAGAAAAACGCTCCGCCGCCCCTCCAGGCCCCTTCCGCCTCAGACTCGTCAAAGGTTTTGGCCACGTTGAGGAAGCGTGCACGGACCTTTCTGCCGGTCGTGACGGACCGTCCACGAGACTGCCAGGGTATCGCTCGAGACGGCGGCATGTGCGGCATGTCGGTGATGTGCCCGTGTTGCACATGAAGCAAGCTGGTCCATAGCGGTTAAAATGTGAAGACATGTGACATGTGCATAGGAATAGCTCCTCTTCCTGAGCATCTAATAAAGCTTCTAACTTGCCAAACAACAACAGAACCGGTCCAAAACTGTAGAACAATCTGAGGAGCTCTTGAAGGTGTGGGACAAAAGATTGCTTCATGGCAATTCATGGTGGTTCAATCTCTCCTCATCAATTCCCAGATCGTTGAACAACACACTCACAAAGCTCATCTACCTCCTGCAGGAGGTGTCCTTTCACAACACATGACTTTCCGCGGCTTCCTAAGGCCGGCGCATCGTCGTTGCCTTCAAAACCAAGAAGCATATCGCCTAAGGCCTCGAGTGCGAGGAGAACCAGTTCGATCGGCGTGCTCCTTTTCAGTATGAGCCTAATGAGTTGCCTCCAATAGTCAACGAAATCCTCACGTCAATTACGGAATGCTGATCAGATCCTCCCGAACCCTGGGCCTAAACAAAACAATCTTGTGATGATGTGATGAGATTTGATGAGTCCCACTCTGCCAGGTGGAGCGATGCACTTTGGACCTCAGCCACCGGCCAGTCAACGCCCACCGCTTTCGACAGAGGTTTGCGCCTGTGAAATCCGCCTCGCGGAGTCCAAACCCACGTGACCTCGGTGAGTCCAAACAGCACGGGAGGACAACGCCGCGCGGAGTCCCAAACAGCATGGGGGAAACAACGGAGGCGCCCACGGATGCGCCGATCATCTCAGACCTGTCGCAGCATTTGTCCCACATGTGTCCAACTTGTGTCCAGTCTTGAAGTTGGCCCACTTCAATCCCACCCCCCCGCATGGAAAGTGGGTACATTGCCGAAAAAGACCCACCGGTTCTCGCGTCCTCTCGGATGCGGAGATGCGTTCGCGTCCTGCCTTTTCGCCTCATTTTGCCCAAGCGGCTGGCAAAGAGGAAGCGCTCTGAGGCCTTCCATTTCTCCTCAGCCCTTTTTGCTTGCAACTGCTTGGTCCGCTCCACGCAACCTGTACCGCTGATGAGGACTCCCAGAAAGGACCGGTGGACGATGGAATATGGGGGAAACAGGATGAACATCACAGGGAAAGTGGAAACATCAAGCATCAGTTGCCAACAGAATTGGAAGTCCTGCATCTGACCAACACCACCTTTCTGTGATCAAATCATCCGGCCTTCCGGCTAGTTTTGATGATAGTGAAACCATCGCCATTAGTTTAATCAGGAGGGATGTGCCATCTGTTTTCTGCTTACCTTTTTCCAGCGAGACTTGTTTCTGGTCAAGTTCACACACACAAACAAAAGAGGGAGTGAAACCTTGTGGCCTAAAGCATGGGCCAACAGTTTTTGAGGGCACGATATGTCCTACAGCACAGTTTCACCAAGCCGTCCACAAAAATGTTGTGACAAACGGATGTTCAGCCAAGTGTGCCCAACGAATTCAAATGTGTATCGTTCCTCCCCCATTTATAGAAACCTGTGGACACATCCTTTAAGTTGTACCTCCACAAACCACTCAAGCAAACAGCGTTGGTTTAAGCATACTTCTGATGGGGCGAACACTAACTAAACAACAGTATATAATATATACATACAATACAGTATATATTGTAACAATCATCATTGAAACAACATCAATAGCATGGTAACGTTCCCATTGTTGGTTTGAATGTTGTGTATTGTTTCCTTGCCTAGTCTCCGTGCTCCCTGTATAGAAATAGATGTTGATATATGATTAAATAATGATTCAATTCTATGTAGCAACATAGTGTGTTTGATTGATATACACAAATGCAAATACAACGTCGTAGGTATCCTCCCTATGCTCTCGTCCAGATCTCGCCCATGCCATTTGCCAGGGCGCGGATGATGATTTGGACGACTGTACTCTCCTCAGGTTCGGGAGAGAATACCCTTCTCCCTCCAGTGTGAACATCTGCAAAGAGCTGAGCCAATCGTCGCTTGGGAGCCGACCAACTTCCCTCCAAAAAGCGAACCATTCCACCACTAAAACCGTTGAAGTGTCGGGTCAAAAGGTCCTACTTCGAACTTGTCAACCCTAAATTGAGAACAAAAGCTTGGAATCTGTTTGTAAAACGAGATGTAGAGGAACATCTTGGAACCCGGGTCACAATGTAAGCTTACATGCTGGCAGCACTTGCAGCCTCCCACAACACAACACCACCGCCACCACCAGCAGCAGTAGTAGCAGCAGCAGCAACTACAACCACAACCACAACCAACTTGCTTAAAAAAGAAAGTGGAGCCCAAGACTTGATACAGTAAGGAAGGTTCTCCATGTTTGCTGCCCGGCGTGCACAAGGTTAGCCACGTTTAAGATGTTTAAGATAACATCCTTGCCCCGTGTGACACGGTTTTTTCCAGAGCTGCGGCAGCGGCACAACCAATTTCTCACCAGAACATGCCAGCAACCGTACTTGTCAGTTCACAAGTAAGTTCACGCCACGTGGGCTCTTCATTTTTCTCCCACTTCCACCAAAACAACACACAGCCCGCCGTTGGCATCAGCAGCACAACCACGGCAACAAATCAAAACCAAATGGACCAAGGCACAAGCTGCTCGCCCACCACTTCCCTCCAGCCAAAACACATCATCTGCAACACCCGACTCACCCGACCAAACTTGTTTCAGCAAACCCGCTTTTCAAGCAAGGCTAGAAGCACCCTAGCAGCAATCGACGACAACAACAACAGCAACAACAACCAAACGATCAAAAGATACACCAGCACCACACGGAAAGGGATAGTTATGTATATAATGTATATATATATATATATTGTTTTATTGAAAGGACACATGCATAGTCAGGGGTGCCCATCAACCACCCTAACTCCGTGGTGCTGGCAAAACAATAACATCCACTGTCTGAGTCTCCAAGATGACCGCCCTGGTGCCCTGGACCATGGCCTGCACCGCCTGTTGCGCCCGCTGTGCACCTGGCAGCTCTTCTCGCCCTTCGCGAGACTTCTTGAGGAACTCTCGGGCATGGTGATAGATGGCACGGGTCACCTGGGCACGGGTCCCGAGTCCGGCCGTGTGTGGGAGTGCTGGTTCCTGTGTCTTTTTTGGTGTTCCTGTTTCTGTTTGGTAGAAGTAAAATGAAGTATATAAATAGGATGAATCCAGGATGAACAGGAATTGTGACAAGTCGGGGGGAATTCGAATTCAAAGAAACCATCTATACATCTAGATCTAGCTTGACACGTTGTAGAGGTTGTTGTAATGCTTACGTGCCAGCTTGCCAACACCTTTAGTCTTGATTTGATAGTTAAAGGAAAGGAAAGGTTCCGGTCATGGTCACTCCATGACCAATATGATTTCAAGGAGGTTCCACCCTGCCTGTGCTCACAAAGACACAATCCTGTTGTGACCCCCAGTGCACCGAACCATTCGTGGCTAGACTGAAAACACCACGACACGACAGTCATGCAGGGCGAAAATGGAAACGCACACATCTAGGGCATGGATCAGTTTCAACGCCTGTCTTGAGTCCGGACCCTGCCAGGTGACCTGCAACAGTGTATCCTCAATTAAACTCGATCCTTCAATCTCCCAAAAAATGGTCGTTCGCCTCCCATCTCCGAAGCTCTTCCGAGCCACCGCTGTATTGGAATGTTCCTCCAGTGCCGAGCTCGACTTCCTGCTTGGCAGTGGCGAGCCCTTGGGCGCCACGGACGAGCTGCGGCGCCCCGCCGCGCTGGGCGCGCGCGACCCAGCTTGGCTGGGCGCGCGCGACATGGCGGGCCGATCTTCATCGGCGCCCGAGAGGCGGCGTCGTGGAGAAAGTCTGGAGCCAAACAAGATGGTGGTATGGTATGATTGGTATGCTTCAAACAAACGACTTGAGGATGAATTGTTATTATCAAGTCTACAGTAGTTACAGTAGCAAGATGATGTTATTTGGATCGCCTCCAAAGAATCCACAGAATGGTTCAAGAACGAGCAACAAGGTTTGGGGGACAATTACTTGAATAAGTTGGACACCTCACAAAATGATCAGGAAACCACCAAGCCACCAGTGTATGCCGGACTCTTCGATTGAGACCTTGCACACCCAGCTTTCAGACCTCCAACCCGCACATGGCGGACCGGCGAACCTTGCGCCCAAAGGGGGAGAGAGCACTACGACTGGAAACACAAGGGATGGACGAAGGGGTCACAAGGGGTCAATGGATGAAACATGATGAAACCATGATTGAAGAGGAAGGGAGCACGATGCAGCATGAGGGGGCACGAGGGGTCGGATTCAACACAAAAGGGTAATGAAGGGAGCACGAAGGATCAATGGATGAAAATCGATGAAGCGTAGGGTGGGAATTGGGAGCACACAAAAGAGCAATGGATGAAACAGAAGGGGCAACAATGCCTCCTTCATTCCTCCATTGTGCTTCGTTCATTTCCCCCTCATGACTCATGCACCTTTGATTCCCAACTTGTGTTTCATTCCTTGCCGGCTCGCACCCTGTTCATTCGGCTCCCTTGTGTTTGATTTATTGTCCCTCGCGCACCTACCAATCGACCTTCCAACCAACCAACCAACCTACCTACCTACCTACCTACCACGGGGGCATTCACCTTCTTAAATCCTTCTTAAGTCTTAGATAGCTCAGATTTCACCTCGATGGCCACACACAGTCAAAGTCCTCATCTGACACAACAAATTGGCGCCTAGCGCATGCATCAACAGCTGCCGTGGCTGGCCAGAGGCATGTGCGACCAAAAGGACGATGTTTCGCTTGGCATAGGCCTCGATCCTGGGCGATCCAAACATTACTCGAACATCAGGTGCGTCGCCTCGCTATTAGTAACAAGGATGCTACTAGTAGCTCCTGGCATTGCTACTAGGAACAAAAAGCTATATACTAGTAATAAAGGGCATCACTACTAGGAGCAAGAAGCTACTAAAGGATGCCCCCAAAGTCACACCATGTGAGTCCATGTTGTTTCGCTGAATTTAGGACATGAGGTGTGCTCGTCAGGTTTTGCTGGGAAGTCTCAACACCTGGACTCTGTAGATATATAGGTGCTCCCTATGTGCGGTGCAGGATTCCCCGGAAAACTCAGGAATCATCCTGTTCTGATGGTGCAACCCCGCAATGACACTTTGGGACAGGGAACATGTGGCCCAAACAATATAAAACCATATGAAACCCTGACCTGCAGGTCTCCTGCTCCATCTGCCGTTCCAGTCTTCTCTTTTGATATCCTTTGATGTCATTAGTGGGTGGTCTTGTTTTTGGTGCTTGAATCCTAGGCTTAAAACAGATCAAGGTGTAGGTCTGAACGGTCTGAACCCTTCACACACCATCGGTTGTTAAGATGTCTACGATCGAGAAGCCTGAGGTTTGGAAGGAGGGTGAGGTGGTAGAGGGGCTAGTTTGCCAACGTTGCTGCCAACTACAAACGATTCGATACATTGAGGGAGGCTTTAGCGGTTGACGGTGGTAGATTCCCAACCAATGAGAAGCCAAGGGCGCAGTTTTGCTGAATTTGGGACTCTTGGGCTGCAAGTTGACCCAAAGACTAAGGGCCGGCAAGTAAGATCTTGTCCACCTGGAAATCATTAGTGAAAACGCATGCCGAAGCAAAAGCACTTTGTCCACCTAAAGCTGCATGCGCATTTTGACTTTGCCACGTGTACTAGCTCGCAACGTGCAGACATAGAGTCCAAAACAAGCACTGCCAACTGCATAATAGTTGTAGGAGGATTATATAGGTTGACTGAATGTGTGGGTAGTGAGTAGTGAGTTTCCTGAGTTTCCTACATGGTGGTTAGCCAGGGAAGCTGGAACCCTAAGAGCTCAGCCCGCCGCTGTTCGCCAAGGTACATGGTGGACAAGGCCTCCAGCGCCGAGGTGTCCATGAAGGAAACCTCATGGACAAGCAAGAATGTAGACTCTTGATGTAGCAAAACCACCCCATTTGAATTAAACAACCTCTTCACGTAGGGGCGGTTGATTAATCAAGAGGTTACATCAAAGGGCTTCCGGAGTTTTGCATCTGGCGGTTGAATAGGAAGTTCTGCCCGCATGAGTTTGCAGGCATAGTGTCATGCTTTGAACATCATCGAAACATGACACCGGAACCAGGACCCAATAATATCTCAATATCAGTGCTGTACTGTACTGTACTGTACTGTAGGATCTCTAGGAATCCCACCCCCATCCGCCCCTTAACCAAAACAACCACACACAAAGACAGAATCATAGAAATAACATGAAATAACAATGATGTCACCCCAAGAGAACTTCTTTTCCTGTACTCACTGGCACTCCTTCCCGCCCTTCTCCGAGCTCGGCTCGGCTCGCCCCCGCGGATGACTCACCGAGCTGCGGCCGCGAAGGACAGGATGATGGCCTTCACCGGGCACCCCGCCTCGGTGAAGGACCGTCCGTGGACAAGAGCGGATCATCTCCGTCCCTAGGGCTCCTGGCCTTGGCTATTCTCAGGTTCGGTGGTTATTTTTCTCCCCCCCCGGCACCACCCCAACCACCGAACCGAAAGGGAGGTAGTTGGAAGGATTGGACCCCCCAAACAGATTGTCAATGTCCCTCAATTTACATGAATATGCTGTAATCCACCCCTACCATTCAAATAGCTTGCATCATCTTGCATCTCAGCACTGAGGAAGACACCATACTGGCGGAAATCTCCATCTCGTCCAACCACTCCTGGCAGGCAGCTGCGCAGCAATGCTGCTACAAGCACTTGGTGCGATCCAGGAAACAGTTGCGTCCTGTGCGTGGTGGTTACAGTTGCACAGTTACTTTTTGGGGCTGGGATTCCTTGGAAACAGGGCTACTTACTGGACCAAAAAGCCCTAACCATGACCAAAAACCTAGACCCAAAGGCACGCTCAAAGCTTGGAGGAAAACATGTAACAGTAATAGCAAAAATACGAGTTTTCCGTGTTTCATGAGGCGGTGGACCATCGGCTTCTCATAGGCTTTCCGACTCTTGCCCTCCAGTTCCAAGGTTCATCTGTCACTGCAAGTGTCCTTAACGTTTGAGCAGCAAGTTAGCCTGGAAGCAATGCTGGAAGCCATTGATGGCTTGTGGAGGCATGAGGCAACCAAGCTCGCCATCGGCATCGCTCGTTTCACATGCCACACGTGGAGAACAAGTCCATACATCATATGGAACCCATTTCTTGGCCAAAACTACCTTGCGGTGATTTGATCCTAGCGAAGAAGTGAACTCCTCAACTTGGAACCCCTCATTTCGACCAAAAACATGCGGGCCACCATGGTCGCTCAGAACGGCTCCCTGTTGAATGGGACATATGGATACCCCTGGCTCTGAAGATCTCTGAAGTAACTACAGTAAATCCCTCATCCTTTGGGCTCGCACCAGTCACCAGTCATTCATCCCACGGCTCCGAGTAATTGGGCTCTCTTGAAGCCTTGAACAATTCCCTTCACCCAGCTGCCACACGTTGCTACACCCGACCAACCATGCCACCCTTCCCGCAGCCGCCAAGCCATCACTTCCATCCCCCGTCCAACCCCACCAAAACGATCCCAAAACGAACTACCCACCACGCAGAAGTAGCAAACAGGCGCACCCTCAACATCCACAAGTCACCAGCCATGACAGTCTGTCCAGCAGCAAACGTGTCTCGGCCCCAAACCGGCCGAGCCCGTCACCTCCAAGCGTTCGGTGTTGGCGTAGAACAAGGGCCCTTCAGGGCGCACGGCCAGGACCCCCGGGTGCTGCTCGGTGTCTCGGCGCTCCTGGACGGGAGACGGATGAGACGGGGTGGGTGAGTCAGACTGAGAACGCGAACGCCTGATGAGCAACTGGAAATGTTCGGGAAGAAGTTGTGTCATTAGAAGGGAAGAAGGAGGTGGGGTGTCCGACAGATGCCCGGTGCCCATTCGGAAGCTGAAGCACTGCCCGTCCAACAGGGAGATGTGGAAATCCCCTGCTCAGTTGCAGCTGCCCCAAACATCAAAAGGATTTCGAACCGTCGCCTTCATCGTAACTAATGTAGACTCTTGATTAATAAAGCACCCAATTGAAATGGAAGATCCTCTTCATATGGGGGGTTTACTAACCAAGAGTCTACATTATATAACTTGGCTCAATTATCAACGTCACATCCAAGTTCTCTTAGCCAAGTCACATTGAAACCACTGACTACCGGTCGCGTGACCACCCGAGGTCTGGCCTGTCCTTGACATTGAGCCAGCGATGCCGGCACTGGCAGTAGCCTTAGATCTGCTGGGTCCCTCAATAGCGCTGGGAGATTGAATGAGAAAATCATGCAGGACATATTGTTCTATTTATTGAATGCTACTACTAGAGGTGAGGGACAACCCAACTCTCTTGGGGCATGTGATTGTGAAGGCAAGCTTGCAATAAGCGCTTTCTTCATCAGGTATGTTTGAAGGGTCTTGTACTCCCCATGGCAAAGAGTGTCTAGCACCAGGTCAAAACCTTCAAGTAGGATATCTTCAACATTCAACATCCACCGTCTTCGGCCCCCTTGATAGAGGTTGAACATGATCACCTCCCTGAAATTCACCATGAAAGTGGATAGCACGGCTATCTAAAGGATCTTCCGAATACTAAGCAGGTGGCGTGTGCCTTGTGAATCAGTCGGAGTGTATACTTTCTCTCGCCTCAAGAAGTTCAGAGAAGCACCACATCTCTTTTAAAAAACTCTTAACCCATTAAACCTAGGCCCATCCACTTCCCTGGGGGTCGGCGGCTGTCAGGCGCTAGCCTGGTTAAATATACGAAGGAACGCGTCCGTGGAAATGGCAAAATCATGATCCGGATCCAAGACCGTCTCCCAGCGGCACTCTGGATGGAACAGCTGCGTGAACTGGACAGCTGTCAGAAGCTTCGGAGCGAGTAAAGAACGGGTGAGTGAGGATCATGCACGCTGTCTCCTACCAAATGGCATATCGCTTTCGCAGCAAAAAAACTATATATAGATATATATATAGTTAATTATGATTATTGGAATCCTCTGAGCGAGCTACATAGCGTTGAGGGAGCTACGACATGTCACCGTGCACTCTAAATATGCAGGAAACTGCACATGTCGCTCCCTCAACTCTTTTGCCTGAGGAAGCACGTATTTATGTGTTTAATATCCGATCCAGTTCCCTGTGACGAAGGTGTGCGACTGTCACTGTCCCTGGACACGGGGTGATTGTGGCATAGCCCTGACGCCAGTGCCCGGGAGCCCTTGATGCTTCCTCAACTAACCATGGCTCAAAGCCGTTTAAGCAATCAAATCTTCCAATCTCCCATCAACTTCGGGCTTTATATCAAGATCTCGTACGTTCAATGCATGCCAAACTCTGTTGAAACCTGTGGCATACTACATACTGCGTATAGTATGACCTATGCATCTATGGTAGGTTGTTTCAAAAGGGCGGATATAGGGCCTACAAATCAATTACACACTTAGCTCCAAGAAGGAAGCTTCCTATTTTGCCTGATGATGCTCTCCACAACATTCACAAGCTGCCACCTCTCCACAGTTCCAAGCTGCCCAGGGTGGTGATGGGTGGGTCGGCCACCTGGTAGACGATCAACACCAACGAGACCACCACTGCGCCAAGAATCCCTGCAGAATCCGACACGGCACTGTCAAGAAGGGTGACGGCCGCGGTACACATGAAGAAAGAACAAAAAACCATGAGATGACGACAGGGTCCTCCGTTCATGACTGCTTGGGCTGCTTGGGGCTGTCGTTCAGGAATGCTTGTTTTTTTTTGGTCTTCACCTACATCTCCCTGTGTTGCTCGAAGATCACGTGGCGTCATCCGAAAAAGGCCAGGGAGCCTCTGAGTCCGGAGTCGGTTCTCCATGTCTCAGTGTGCTTTTTCTCTCCATGGCGTTCTTTTAGCTTTGCGGCGCTCTGAACTAGGTTGTTGTATTAATGTTAAATCAAAAGCTCAAGGTCACCTACACCTACCACGGCACCCATTCAGCATCTTACATATAAGGAACTTTCGCTAAAGATGGTGCTTTCGACACTGCTGGTGCTTTCGTGACAGGGATAGGATGTGGTGCTAAGGTTGCAGGGTTGATCGAGGTGTGAGACTAGTGCGTGCCAGCCTACTGAAGAGCATTTGGCTCTTAAGGGTGCGGGCCAGTTCACGCCAAGTGGATGATGGCGGCTACTTTGAAGAAACCCTCGAGGAAGCGCCCGGCCGGGAATGTCTGCAAGCGCCCAGCCAAGAGGACCACGGGAGAGGGGAGTCGCTTCAGTTTGGGCAATCGTGTGAGTGAATGCTATTTAGTATTTGATTTTGTAATGCGGCTCAATAGGGGGAGATGCCGGTTTAGAGCATCACAGCATCACTTTTAGTCAAGTCAGCCTTGGAACAAGGCCTAGATAGCATCCATAATTGACACGTTCAGCATCGTTCAACACATGTTGCAGTGCAGCACGGTTTCCACCAATTGGCGCCTTGCATTCAATGCCTCGGCCAAAATTGGCCCAGCTGCTCGCCAAGCCATGTCAATGCGGAGCAAGATCGTGTCTCACTCAATTTGAGAACAATCTAGAAAGAGTCCAACAAGAGCGAGATCGGTACAATGCACTTGATGACTCTCGCAAAGAACCTTGCATGGCATGGACATATTTTGTTTTTTAACCACACCAGTAGGAAGGGTTTTGTTTTGCTGACCCTAAGTCAAGTGTTCCACACCAATTATTTCCAAACAACACGTCCAATGAGAATGGTTGTTGGTAGTAGGCAAACTACAAGAACCTGTTTCGGGGTCAATGAAAAACTCTGTCAGGAAGATCTGGTGAGAATGTGGTATAACATCCAACTTCCAGAAAGCCTCACTGGGAGTGATCAAAAGCTGGATGCGCTGTTGTATCAAAGCGATGATGAAGTGGGCACAGGAGATTGTGATGAGGACAGGGTTCTCCTTCAAAGTGATTCTGAAGGTTCTCAAAGCGATTGTGATATGGATGGGGCTATGCTACTTGAATCAGATGATGATAATGTCCAAGAGGAACCTGAACCGTCCAAGCGCCGGAAGTATACTGCAAGGCAAACAACGCCATTCAGCTTTCTCGGTAGGACTGTTTGTGCCAGGGCTCACCAACAGCTCTATGGGATCAGCTCCAGGGTTCTACAAAACCTCCGTGAAAACCTGCCAGGGTATACTATGCATGAAAAGCGGTTGCAAGAACCCAAACACAGTGTACTGAAGGTGTCTCTGAAGAGAAACTCTGAGAACATGCAGTGGCCGCATGTAGTCACCTTCTTTTGGATCTTGTACATCTCTGCCGCGGAGGTTTTGCCTACAAGGCTTGTCATGCCGAACTGGCAAACCGAAATTGTGGAGGGTGACCCAGACTTTTCTGAGCGCTTCACATGTGGCTTCCTCCGAGATGTTGAGAAACACTTCGAGTTGAGTCACCCAGGTCAAATCGGCCCGGCCACTTTTCAAGGGCCCCGGAGGTATCTTGAACACGCCAAGCCGATTGACCTGTACATGCAGTACACTGCTTACGCAGACGCCGAAAGAATCAAACCGGCATCCCGGGCAACCTTCATGAGAGTATTTCGAAGGGTGTTCTCCACCCATTTGAAGTTCAGGGATAAAGCTGAATTTGGACAGTGCGAGATCTGCTATCGGTACAAACAGAAAATAAAGAAATCAGCAACCAGGTCGGAGAGGCTGACATGGACAAGATCCTACAGCAACCATTTGTTTGCTCAGTGGAGAGACCGACAATTCTACTGGCGGATGAGGGAGCTCAGCCGACAGTTCTTTTCACAGCAGCTTGCTTTTGGAATATCTAAGATTCATTCACTGGAACTGTCTTCTTCAGTGCTGACTACAATCATGGATGGAATGGACCAGTCCAAACTGAGGGTTCCAAAATGGGGCTACGTTAGACTGCCTAAGTCGTTAGAAGTGCTATACCGTCCAGCACTACATCTGGCTGCCACTTGGATCCACGGAGACCGGTTGTGGCTGAGTGTCAGCGACGAGAATGTCAAGAAAAACTCGGCCAGTCAAACAGAGCAGCTCGTGCGAAGTTTGTCAAATTTGCTGACAACGACATCCCAGCTCCCGCTGCACTTGCACTGTCAAACTGACAATTGTTTTCGTGAAGGCAAGAACCAATTTGTCAGTGCCTTCATGATGATGGCAGTTGTGCTAAAGATCTTTCGAAGCACCAGCCAAGGCTACCTAAGAAAAGCCCATAGCCATGAAGACGTCGACCAAGTCTTCGGACAAGTTGCACGTCTTCTTCAAGGGAAAGCAGTCGCCACTGCTGATGCTATGGTAGATTTGCTGAATGCTTTGACCAAACGGCAGGGAACTTCTACAACATCAGCAGGGCATATACTAAAATCCTCTTGTTCTGCCTACAGACTGGACGAAGTGACGTGTTGGCAACCCTTTGTGTCCCAGCTTGGTGTTTTCCTCAAGGGGATGCGCCATGTGCACTACATACGCTTTTGCGAGAGAAAGGATATGGGGGCCGACATCCTTGACAATGTGGCTGAGGTTGAGGAGATGAGAGGACAGAGAGATAGACACCCTGAAGACATCTTTGTTGTCACAAAACAGTGGCTCGCTGATACCAACATAGCTAGAGCGATTTGCGTTATGCCTTTTCTTGCAGCGCAGCAAGTGCGGACCGGGTACGCTCTTCCAGCAGGGTTGGAAGAGAGAAGACCCATTTCAGATTCAATGAGGAACAACATCAATCGGTACGCAGCAAAATGCCAAAGACTTGGCACACTCAGCAAGGAGTCAGCCGACTATTTGCTACAGTGGGTTGGGGGTACATTGCCCAAACATCCCAAACCTACCTTGTATGGCATCCTGACATACCGGTACATTCCCGCATTGAGGGGTGAAGCTGTGAGGCATGGCGCATGGAAGACACCAGCTCGAAAGAAACATGTCAATTTATCGCTGGTGCCAGATGCGGAACTAGATGAGGGTTCATCTTCGGATGAAGGGGAAGTGGTCTTGCCACAAGCTTTGCTGAACGCCAGCTGAAAAGGGAGTGTGAGAAAAATGCAGTGTGTTAATTCAATCAAAAAACTAATCAAACACGACCAGACCAGCATGTGTTTTTTTATGGTCCTGCTCCTTTGTCTCTCAAAGACTTGTTTTCACACCCGGCCCTTGGGTCTTGGTGGAAGGTGGCCAAACTCAACCTTTTGTTCCCCTTTGACTGCCGCGCCATCCAGCTCTTGCCTTGCGCTCTCCAGGACCAAAGAAGACATGGAAGCACTCGAGGATGGAGCTTTGCTTTATTGTTCTGACGGAGGCCCGAAGGCTGTGCCATTCATGATGTCACACCCACTGTTGTCACTATATCCCAGAATGTGGGCGGGGTAGTCTTATGCGACCATGAAACCCATCACCATTCAAGTTGTGTTACCCTCGGCCACTTCGCCACTTCACTGCTGGCACCCGTTTGCAGACCAAGAAGACGACCAAAAGACTGAGTTCGAAGACCTTGGACTACTGGAGGCTTCAGAGGAGGAGGGGGGAAGCAGCACACCTGCAGCTGACACCATGAGGAAACTCCCTTTCAATCACATTCCCAACGCTACTTTGCTTAAGAGTGGTCGGAAACAAAGTCTTTTTACTATGAATCCTCGGACCTGGAATTGGACTCCTCAGCTACACCAAAAAATGTCAAGCCAAAACATGTATGGGACCCATATTGACCCAATGCATTTTGTATGTGCCGTGTTTCATCTCATCTATCTTCCACTAAAAGGATTTGAAAGGGGTTTTGCACGCTTGGCAATCTCAGGTCTCCGACTTCGTGCAAATCTTTCTGAAGGAGCCGTGCTTTGACGGACTTCGGCAGAGGTTGGTGTCCACGTTCCGCAAAGTGGACACATTGCGAGTGGGCAGCATGTGCTCGGGTTGGGGAGTTCTGGAGATGGTCCTGGGACGTCTTCAGGAGGAATGGAACAAACAACCAGTTGGAACAGGTGATTTCAAGGCCCGTTGTTTCAACCATACACAAAGAGTACATAATACTGACTGTCATCTGTAGAATTTTTAACATAAAGGACACAAACACTGGAAAGCAAGTACCGTATGATTTGCGCTAAAGTTCAGTAAGATATTATTGTCAATCTGGCTAAATTAAAAAGAACCCTCCAGGCGGAGCTTGCATTCATGGTGGAGAACGACAAAAGGAAGCAGGATTACTTGCGTACCCGCTTCCCTCATGCTGAGAGGGTCTTCAATGACATGTCGGAAATTGGCAACAAAGTAGCTTCAACGTGGGATGGAAGCTATCACAAAGTTCCTCAGGTGGGGCACCCCAATTTGCTCAAACATGGAACATGTGGGTACGACTTTTGAGTACGTAATGACAGCTAGATCCTTCAGAAAACATAAAATAGAACTCTCTTGTTTTTTCTTTGATTCTTTAAACTGTTCACCGGCCAGGTGGACTTGCTGGTGGCAGGCTTTCCTTGCGTCAACGTGAGTCAGCTGACCACCACTCCGGGAAGTGTGCTGGACCCTTCATGCCAAAGTGGTTTAGGTTTCCAATCGGTTGGAAACTATGCCAAGAGACACAAACCTGCGATGATTCTACTTGAGAATGTAGCCTCCCTTTTTCACAAGAGAGCTGTTGATGGGGGTTCTATATCAGGGTGGCTCAGTCAGCAAAAACCAAATCACCTTTCCCTGTTTCATGGTTTTTTTAATAATGACATATTATGTTTGGGATTAGTATGTATCCCAGACAAGAACACATTCCTTTTCTGAGGTATGACCAGATCAAGGAAGAACTACATCGCTTGGGGTATGTGGTGAGCGCTGCGATGTGCAACACTGCGAACTATGGGTTGCCCCAACAGCGCACCAGGGCCTGGGTCATGTGTGTGCTGGCATCCCAATGTGAGTCCAGTGCGGGTGATCTCATGAGAGAAGCTTTGTTATCCTTCCAGTGCCAACCTGTACCTCTAGAGATCATTTTGTCAAAAGCACCACCAGTTGAAGAGGGGAAGAGTGCATCCAAACCGGTTAGACCACTTCCTATGAAGAGTGCCGCGCCGAAGTGGAAAGATTCTCTGAAGCACGTCTTCAAGCAGTTTGGCAAGGCGCGCACCACTCATTCTCAGTGAGGCTGCTGAGAATTTCAACAGAGTATCAATAGTCTTCCGAAGATCTATAATATCCTTTTAACACATCCTTCAACATCCACCGGACATCCCAAAACAAAGTCAAATTGGTGGTGGTGGTGGTGGTGGTGGTGGTAACTGGTAACCTCTTCAGCATAGCGGACTCAACTCATATTATGCTGTTTCTACTGGACCTGGTAGTGTTTGTTCTTCAGCTTGAAGTTGGTAGTAACCACATGTGGGTTTGTTTGACATGAATGGAGAACAACTCCAAGTTGGACCACGTGACCACGCGTGTTGTGGCAGGAGAAGGTGACAGCTCGCATCGCTGACCTCGAAGGAAGGTTGACATGTTGCAGTGACCGTGAGATCGCCATCTTGGCTGCATCCATGGAGGAGGTGATTTCCACCAAAAAGATTGACCCGGTCCGCGAGCTCATGGTGATCCAGGTTGTCACTCAATGTATGTTGGATTTGCTGTTAACTATTAGTTCAACCAACCACTATATACTGCTTTGGGTAGCCTTCCCCCATATGTCTGCTTATGATTTGATTTAATTGTTCGATTACATAAAACTTTCGAGGGGATGCAATGTTTCTGTTTTTGAAATGAGTAACTGTTTTAAAGCGGCTGGATCAGTTAGCTCAACAAAACAGCACTGAGGATCAAAACTTTGGTCGACAGAACTTTCCAAAGAGCAACGTGCGCACTACGTCGTGCCTCATCCCGGGTGGCAAATACATTTGCACCGGGCCAGCCGGATTCAGACCAATGACGGACCAGGAGCACCTAGGGGCCCTTGTATGGAAGCATGGAAGTAAGGTACCCTAACCGCCCTAACCAAATTGAAGGTTTTGGCTTCCTCGCCGCTGCAAACAGGAGAGGGCATTCCTACAAGGAGTGGGGCCGTGTGATTGGTCTCGCTGGGATATGCAGAGCGTCCCCTCGCCTCTTATGAGAAGCTTCGCGGGCAACTCGTGGGGGGCTCAAACCATGATTTACACTAGGGGACCATGCAGATGTCACATTCTATGAATTGAATGCGTGACTACCCTGCAAAAAAAACATCCAAATCCAACACATCAACCAATCCTCCAAGGTTTTCAGTTCCTGTACATCTGGCAGCGCTGGTGGCATTGCTCGGGCACTGGCGTCCGAATGACCGGGCTGCGTGAGTCGGGGATCATTGGATGGTTCTAGTTGGTAGGCCTGCACTCACCACCATGGTTTGGCCTGTTCACTTCATTCATGGTTTGTATTATTTCAATATGCGTTGACTGCTGTTACTAATATGTAAATTATTCATAATTATTGAACTCTTTGATGTGGGAGGTGAGGCCCCATAGAACCTTTTGAGCGTTGCGCGATTCATTGTCGCACAACCCCGCAATTAAGATGTGGTTTCCTGCAAATTAGATGGGTCCATCATCCTAGTCCCATTGCACTAATTGAACGTTGAAAAAAAAGGTAGGATCGACTACTATGTAGGACAAGCTCAGTGGTTGCATTCGGATGCTTCTGATTAATTCTGAGTTCCATGGTTTGCACCTGACCTACTTTCATTTCAGGGGGTGGCTGCCAGGTTGTAGCTTGAGACCTAGTAGCTTCCACTTGGTGGGTGATCATGGCGCCCGCAAAGCGGAGAAAGACTCGTCAGAACCTGAAGGACCCAGTGACGGCGCCTTCAACCATGGCAGATGTTCCGCCAGTGTGTCTAGGCCTGAGAGATTGGATCAACGAGCTCCATTCTTACAGGCATGGCGTGGAGGAGGAGAAACCATGGCCCCTTGGGAAGGGTGGCTCCTTTCTTGATATCGTTCAGAAGTGCTTCCAGCATAACAACGAACGGTTGCTCACTGACAGCCTCACCTTCGCCAAGACCATTGGGATGGTCGGCAGGGATGCAGATATGGACACCTTTGCCCAAAAGTTTCTGGTGAAGAAGGCCCATCGGAAGCTTTAGAAAATTCGCAGCGCGCTGCAAGATCTCTGTTCACAATGAGGAAAACCAGTCATTTCTTTTTTTCATCTATAACACCTTTTTAATGGACTGGTCCTGGGCGACCAACCTAACAGCCTTCGCTGAGTTAGCTCATCCCCATCTTGCTCTTTCCTGCCATCGTCCATCCATCCCTCCATCCATCCATCCATCCATCCATCTCTTGCTCTTCCTTCCCATCCTTCAATGCATCCATCCATCCTTGCCATCATTCAATCTGTCCTCCCTGCCTTTCTTTGAGTCATTTAGTGACATTCATTTATGTCCTGTCCAGTCCAGGGCCACTATTGTTATGATTATTCAGTCCAGTCACCAGTCTATTATTATTCCATTTGCTTCCCACTTGGTCAAGCTCCATGTCCATTCCCACTTAATCCTGTGTGATTCGTCCGTCCATCCATCCATCCATCCATCCACCTGATACAAACCAATCAAATCCATCCAAAGCCAACCCCTTGATTGAAAGGACTTTCCACCTACCGCTGGTTCTTGCACTACGACCAGCATCTTACATTGGGGATTCCAAGATGAGTCATTCTGGAGGGCACCGGACTCTGCCACAGTGCTGGACATTGCTAAATCAATTGCTTTGACTGGCTGGCGGGAGGCGCGGGTAATGGAGTGTGGGAGAGGAATGTCTCGCCGCTTTGGGGGCCTCTGTCAGCCCTCCAGAGTGGAGAGCTCTTCTCAGAAGAGCTCACCGCCTTCTAATGCTTGGCCCTTACTTAGGCAAATCTAGGTAATACCACCATTCATACCAATCAATAATAATGACTAGTGACTGCTACTCCAGCAAAGGGAGGGGGTGGAGAGCTCTTCTCAGAAGAGATCGCCGCTTTGGGGGCTCCATAGGCCACTCCAGAGTGGAGAGCTATTGGTCAACCGGACTTGGACCAAGGTCAGCCACCAAGATTTTGAAACCGGAACTAACAGAGGGGGGGTGGAGAGCTCTTCTGAGAAGAGCTCGCCGCCCCCCCGAAAGGGGATTGCTCGCCGCCCCTGGAATGAAGGGAATCCCTCGCCGCCCCCTTCAGGGAGATTGCTCGCCGCCCCTGAGATGAAGAGAATCCCTCGCCGCCCCCTTCAGGGAGATTGCTCGCCGCCCCTCAAATTAAGAGAATCCCTCGCCGCCCCCTAAAACAATTTTCACCACCCACCAACCGTTTGCAACCCATATTTTGGTTTTCCATTAGCTTCATTCACCCGCTTCATGGTTGCAGGGGGAGTTTCTTGGTATCCGCATGCCAATGGACGAAGACACCCAGATGGAGACCGATGAGGGGAGCTGGCGACTTGGAGAACTCATGTTTGATGATGGTGGAATGCGCGGGGTTGCCGCTGCGGTGGTTTGGCTAGGGTTGGTCTACAAATGCTCCACTGAGAAGACGGAGGATTTGACGCATCCCAGGGTGCTCAGCCTAGCTAGAAGTTTGATGCAGGTTCCTACCATGAGGAAAACACAAACAGGAGATATGGCCACGGAGCAGATCCGAAGGATCATCCGCCAAAACGTTGAGTCAAAGAAGCTTCCTGTGAGCAGCTTCGAGTGGGCGGAGATCTTGCGCTGCATGAACAAGCAGGGTCGCCCAATCACGGTGAATGAAGCTATAGACCTGTACAATACAAGTCCAGAGGTAGCTGCTCACGGAGGAACATCAGCGAAGGAACCAAGTAGATAAATTGAACTTTGTTTAAAGTTTTTAGTAGTCAATCTTTTAACAGAATGTGTCATGAAAAGAAACTTCCCTCAAGTGCACTTGGCATCCCACATTGTGCTGCAGGACCGCACCGGCTCGGGCTCTTTGGTTATAGACTCAAAGAAAATGTTCGGCATCAAACATTGGATTGAACTCACAGGTGACCATGCGAGAGAACAAGTCTGCCTGTCCCTGAAAGACGGCCCCTTTGCCTATGGACCTTGGGGTGAAGGCCTCTCCGTGCTGAAACCCTTGTTCTTGAAGTCGGTGGTCAACTTGACTAGCATTCCCCAATCAGCAGCGAGCCTGGTTCCTTTGGATGGTGAAGCTACGATCAATTTGGATTGGGCTCTTCCTATGGATGCTTACTGTCAGGGGGTGCTTTTCCAAAGAATCCGGCTGCACTTCGAGAAATCCACAGCTATCGTTGATGAATCCCAGCACCGTGCCAAATACCGGATGAACGAGTCAGACCTGATGCACCTCCGAAACTTGGTTTGTGTATGGGGGCAGGTTCGGGAGTTCTTGTCAACAAGGGCTCCCAATTTCTCTGAGTTGGACTCCGCGTTGGTGAAGGGCAACACTCTGGACCATGAATTTGCTCAAGTTCTCGAGCAACGACCAGCTCAGTTTGCAGCTTCATTCTTGCCAAGTGCTCAACAGGCTGCAGTTGAGAACTTTAAAAAACATGAAGAAGTTGTGACATTGGAGGTCCAAAAGCAAAGGCAAGAACTCCGGGATGCAAAATGGCGCTACTTCCAGGCAGCTCTCCAACGTGACCAGGAGATCCTGCAAACTGTCCAGGCGGCGCCCAAGCGCTTGGATGCTCTACGCCATCGCAAACAAATGGCTTGGAGAGTTGAGCAATCACAGATTGGGGAACGCATCGTGAAGGGTTACCTTGAGAAGCATCTTCGGTGTGATTTGGTGGAGAAGGTTGAGCACGGCCAGTTGAAGGTCAACGAGTTCAGATCTTTCGTAGTACCTGGATATGATTTAGAAATTGTTGACTTTAGGACTTCGGACCTACTAACAAGTTTTACCGAAGGCGGGTGAAGGTGGTGATGATGATGATGATTAAATTAATCTAAACTTTTCATGATTGTGATGGTCCAGGGATGTCCAGGGGTATTTGGGCCCAGCCAGGGTGTCTGCTCCAACTTGATCCTGTGAACCCTGCCAAGTAGATAAGGCATCTACGTGCAGCTGCCGTGAAATGGATGTGCACATGATTACGATCATTGATTTGAATGTTCCCCTGGCAAAATCCAAAGAGCGCATGGAAGAGTTGTGTGGCCTTCTTCAGTTCGTGAACGATCTCAACCCTGGTCGCCACGTCGGAGTGATTGAGCTGCCCGAATGGGCCAAGAAATCATCGAAGAGAGGACTCAGTGATGAGGAACGCGACCTGGAGCAGGTTCTTTGGGGACTACGTCAAACCTGCGACTGTCGATGGGTGATACCATTCGACATTCACCCGTCCGCCGATGCACAGACCATAAGAAGGTACAGGGCTGCCAAAAAAAGGTACAGGGTCTAGTTGGAATTTTAAATTCTCTGCGTGGTCAGCCTGTTTGACAAACCCTGTAACGAAAGTCCATCAGAATCCATTCTAGTGGCCCCCGTGACCTGGGTTTCTACTATTCACCTCTGGGTTTAGCTGAGGCGATTCTCCTCGGGAAGGCTGGTGGTGAGCAAAGACTTCGAGGGCGAGAACCCATGGATCAACAACAGTGAGTTCGGCCTGGCCGGCAGACCGTTGTCGGAGGAGAAAATTCTTCTACCACTATCTCGAGAACTTTTACTCCCTGAAAGCCTGGACCCAGACTCTGACCTTAGATTTGCAGAACGTGCTCGCCCATCAGTTGAGGCCACTTCGGCACAAAAAGGGCAACATCGTTGGCTGACCATGTTGAGGAGCCTACTGACCATGTCGAGCGGATACAGCTTGAAGAAGAAACCAGTGATCGTCATTAATTTGACCTCCTACGTTGAAGATGTGGGAGTATCTGCTACTTGTCTTTGTTTTGCGCAGGGCTGGTGTGTTGATCAAAGGGCAGGGGAAAGGATATTCATAATTAGTAGGAACCATGCATTGTAAGTTTCGTGGTTCAAACAACAGGGGTGCGAAGGGGCTGGCATGAATATCACTGCCAAGTCCATTCCCTGGCCCATGCTGTGTCCAGCGGACAGTTTCTTTCGGAGTGCAAAGTTAGGAGGGATTGTGCCATGGCATGATGATGATGATGATGATGATGGCAGTTCTGGAGATGACAAGCCAAAACGTCCCAAGATTGAGATAGCCACCCGACCTACCTGGGAGATTGACGCTGACACTTACCCAGATGAGAAGAACCCTTACACCCCTTTGCCAACCAAGTGGCATACATCGCTGTCAGCCACTTTGGGCTTTTCAGTTCATGTGAAACCACCATCAACGACCGCTGGAAAAATTTTGCTGCACTGCAAGGCCAGGAAACAAACAAAGCATCAAGTTCAAGTAAGTTTAATAAAAGCTACCAACTTTCAATTTCCACATCGCATCCCATCACCACCCAAAAACACCAACACACAGGAGCAAATCCATCAAGTTCGTCTCAAATATGGAGGAGAACAACTAGCTGTCTTCAAGATTGGCATCACACAATCTTTGGAACTTCGAGCCCAATACTACTTCGAGGGAAACTTTCGTGAGATGCGTTGCATTCATGCCAGTCATTCACTGGCGCAAATAGAAACATTGGAAGCCTGTCTCATTGATTACTTCAAAGAGAAGGCCCCAGTACAGTGCCGCAACATCTTAGCCGGGGGTGAAGGCATGCGATATAAGAATGGAAAACCTAGAAATCCTCCACCTTTTTTTTTGTATGTTGTTGCCGCCAATGCTTCACAAGCGAAGCGTATTGCAGGCTAATTCAGTTGACAGCGATTAAAGAAGTTGGTTCATTTAATGTTTGAGTTTATCAACTCATCATAATTCGGCAGCAAAAGACAACAGCAGGAAATGGGACAAAAGCAAGCAGCGAGAAGGGTTGGGAACATTCAAGGTCTGGGTCCCTAAATTAAGTAAAAGGCACTCCATGGTGATCAACAATTGGGTAATAACAATTTCATTTGTTTGTATTTTGTATGCGGGAGGTGTTGGCCCCCCAATTTGTTTCACTGCATGTTGAGGCTTTTCAACTTCGGGAATTGCATGAGGAGCTCAAGGGTGGATTCAACACGGAGCAGCTCTTTTACCAAAGCATTTGGTGGCTCAACAAGGACCAGTTTGGAGCAGCGAGACTCACTCGGGAGGTGGTCGACTCATGGCTATCAGGGAAGCTGGAGTTCGCAGGCCAACGCATCAACCTCAATGCACCAGATCTCACTCAGGATGAAATCTCATCAGTTCCAGGAGGTGCAGCCGCCATGAGCAGCCTCGATACCTTGCAGTTCGAGGTCCTCGAACGAGTTGGAGGCAAAATGGTGATCAAGTCGGACGAACACCGTTTCTGGACAACCCAGGGAGGAAGCATCACAGAGGATTATCAAAGCCTCCGAGAAAAGCACCTTGCATTGATAGGATCTGCTGGAGCTGATGCAGCTACCAGGCAAGTCGTGGAGGCTTCGGAAGAGCAGGAACAACCTGAGCCCCTGCCATCTACATCAGAGAATGAGGAGAAAGAGTCCTTGGCAAAGCTCGAAGAATCACCAGGCCTGGAATTGAAGGTCGCTTCTGAAATCAGCGGTGTGGACTTGATCCTTGGGAAAGACAAATCTTTGTGGCTTTATTCGTCATCCGCCGACAAGATGATAGGCAAGCATGTCCAGATCGGCGGCTTCGGGACTGGCCAATACGTGCCTGCTGAAGGTGAAGAAGGGCTTGAGTTCAAGCTGCCCCAGGGTGACAAGACATTGATTCAGTTGGACGAAACTTCATGGAAGCAGGATGGCTCTGGAACCTCGGTGATTTCCCTATTCAAACTCTTGCTGATGTGTGAAAATGAGAAGAACATCACCGACCACAAGATCTCCTACCTGAACGTCAAGAGGAAGGATGATGCCAACCTTGAGAGCGGCATGGACGGATTCGAAGTCTCCTACAAAAACCATATGCGCTTCAAGTGCGTGACCCCTGACAAGCTGAGTGGCAAGAACTTTTTCTGTAAAGTCATTGGGAAGGCTAGCGAGTTCCAGCAGTTGATTCCAGTCTTCCGATTTCGGTTTGAGCGAATTGGGGCCACGCTGAAGCTGCAAAAGCCCCATATAGTTACCAAGTGTTCGCTGCAGTTGAAAGCGGGGAAGCCTATGAAAATCAACTAGTTGGTTTAGGGTTTGACCTCTTCAGTTTTGGGTGGATCTAATCAACACTGTGTGAAACCAACCCCCCGAGACCTGTTTACCCTGCGGATGTTTTCTTGATTAATTGCTTTGTTGATTCTGCTTTTATTTTGAACAACTGGTGTTTTGGCTGACCCGCTGGAACGGAGTGCCAGCACACGGGCCGTGGAGCATATCCACCTGTTCGTTGCAAGCTCTTCTCCAAAGAGATGTCAATTTCAATTAATTGTTATTATCAAATTATCAACCTTATTGTTCATTGTTTCCATTTGGATTCGTTATGACATGTTATGATATTCACATTGAACTTTGTAGATTGGAATCTTTTGAGAAACTTCGCGGGGTGTGAGAAGCAAGGCTAGCAACAACATAGAACGGACTGTGCTATTTTGATTTGCCGGCTAGTGAAGCAGTGGAAACAATGCAGCATTCTTGCCGCGCCATAGCAGCAGCTTTCCAACAGATTTTAGTCGGCGGGCAGAGTGGCTGTCAAGCTCCATCATCATCATAGTGTGAAGCATCTGGCTGTGAAGCAACTTAGAGATAGATGTTCCATCATCATTCTAGCAACGTGGCTCAGGTAGAACCGGGTGTAGCTTGTCGCCCATCCAATTGTTGCGACCAATGCCTTTGATGTACACGGATGTGCTGGTGATGTGGCAGGGCTTGCATTTCCTGCATGGCATGTCAGGGATGTACGAGAAGTCCTCCTTTGGCCATGAATGCGTCCGAGAGTTTTTGATGCGCTTTCGGAGCTTGCCGGTGATTGCTCAGGACCAGAATGACATGGCTGTCATCATGGAGATGATCCTTTTGTTGACAGTCCTCAGCAACATGACCTTCAAGGCTGCCATGGATGGCGATGACCGCATCTCCCAGTTGTCGACGTGGATTGCCGATGCACATGACATTGTGGGTCCCCCAGAAACATGGGCACATCTACAGAGCGTCATCGTAGCAGATCCAGAACATTTTCGCCTCATGTTGAGTAAAGCTCAAGATGAGATGAACCATCTCAAAGCTGAGTGCAATACAGGCCTGCCATATGTGCACAATTTGCTCGGACAAGCCGAGCTCGTTTTGGTCAAGATTAAAATGGCAATTCATCCTTTGCTGTAGATGGCAGCAGGAATTTTGCATATGGGATTTGAAAAGGAACCAGTGTGCAGCAATCTGTTTGCATTTAGAGGGGTGAAGCTGTGAGTGAGGCATGGCACATGGAAGACACCAGCTCGAAAGAAACATGTCAATTTATTGCTGGTGCCAGATGCGGAACTAGATGAAGGTTTTGTTAGTATTTAGAACATCTCAATTTGATAGTAGCAATGTATGTGTCATCTCAATTTAGAAGTTGCAAAGGGATGTCAATTGCAAATTTTGAGCTTGCCCAAAGCTGATCGGTTCGAGGTTATTTAGCCCGGCAATTTGTTGCAATGTCATTCATGGCTTCAGGTGTCTTTGACATCCAAGGTCATATTTTGCGAAGTTCTCAGATGCAACCTGCCACAGGAGTGAGTCCGAAGACAACATTGGCTACGGCTACTTCACCTCAAGGCACACCTTCCGCTTCACCTGGCAACCCGAGCGGTCTTGAGCAGTCTCCATCTCCAGAAGCTCTGCCAGAAGGAAGGGGTCGCGCAAGGGGTCGTGGGCAAGATCGCGGGCGTGGTCGTGGTGGGCAAGCTCGCGGGCGTGGCCGTGGGCGAGGTCGTCAGCAGGCTGTAAAGTCAGAAGGGCATGCAGGTCATGAGGGCTTCTCGACAGCAAGCTTAGCAAACAGAAAAACAACTTACTAAAAACGGTAGCTATTCTGCAATGTTGAACTCATTGGCTCTAGTTGCTGGTCTGGTGTGAATGCATCTAGAGTTGGTTCTGATTAGAGTATTCAGTACCAAAGATTGTCATGTATTATTATGAAATTTTACAGCTTTGACTGGGGATCATGCCCAAGGTAGTACGATTGTGCACAAAATGAAGCGACCAGCAGCAGCAAACAAGAGGGTGGCGGAGGAGAAAAAGACGGACAATAAGCATGACAAGAGTGACGCACCACATGAGGAGGAAAGCGGTGCGCAGGGGCCTAAGCGTAAGAGTTCAACGAAGGCACGTACGCTGCCACTTCTTCGAATGAAGAGGCCTGCTTCTATGATGGAGGGAATCATGGCAGCAGCACGGGTGCGGAGTGAGAATGAGAGGGAAGTTTTTCAGTCGCCTTTGATTTTGAAGGGCGAGAAGAAAGATTCCCCAGTGGATGATGATGATGCTGAAACGGAGGCATCGGGGAACAAAACCTTTAAAAAGCCGGCTGTACAGAAAGCAGTACAGAAAGCAAACCCGTCCACAAATTTTGAATCGGAGGAAAAGCATGCAAATGGATGGGTGGTCCAAAAATTCATCCGCAAACCGGGCACGGTTAATGAAGGTCAGCCTTACTTTAAGTATTTCAAGGCTGGAGTATCCCCAGTGTATTCGCTAAAGAAGGCGGAGGCACTAGGTTTTGTTTCCAACTGATTTTGCCCGGCTGATTTTTGGAATCTTGGATCGACCTCAACTTCCTCGCTCACTTTGCTGAGAAAAGAATTCGCAGCATTTACCCTGACCCGAGCTCAAAACACCACAAGTCTTGAAAACACCAAGTTTTTTGAACATTCCTTATATATTATCATATATTATATAAATTAAACCCTGAAGTCAACCACCAAATGCCGGAGTTGTCATCCCTCGATTTTCTGAGATGACCAAGGCGGATTGAAGCCGGTCATGTGAGCTAACACACGTGTGGGACGGTGTATTTGCTAATGATCGGTGAATGAACAATGATGAAAGGCAAATCAAAGCATCCACTCCTTTTTGCTCAAGCTGCGATACAGCAAACACTCGTTCACACTCCTGGCGGGTGTTTACTAAGGAATGAGGGAAATGATCCCAAGGCGTTCGCAGCGTTTGTGTTCCTGGGGGTCATGAGGTCATTTGCTTACTCCCTACAAGTCGCACCAGTCACACTTCAAGGCCAATCAACCGGCCCGATCACGCGGTCGAAGTCAACGAAACGCCGCGAGGTCTGGCCTTTTAAGGCCCCCAAGAACAGGGTGAAAAGAAAGGCCACCCACCAAACCTAAAAAGCGATCAAGGCGTGTGGGCTGAGACAACAAACGTTTCATGCATGGCATCTAACCTTCTCTCCCTTCTCCTCTCATCTCCTCTCTATTTCTATGTATATTACTTAGTGAGTCTTGAACATAAACATATCAGTGAACCCCTTGTGAACCCAATGGGGTTCTGAATGACACAAACATCCTCCGTGAGGACTGAAATTGCATGCTTGGGACCTCAACTCTCCATGTCTCCTGTGTCAACTCTACAGTTGACCATTACCAATTACCACTAAATATCAGCGAACAACAGTTGGCATTGACCAGCTCTGAAGACTGAAAGTACAACACAACACATCCAAAGTCATCCAAAGCTGGGTTCAAGATTCAAGCACCTCCTCCCCAAAGTTTGGAGAAACTCCTGCAAGAAGAAAAGACTTGCCTCCCAAAGAACCCCAAACATGTTATTAGAGCCTACATTTCACCCCGACCTCTAAAAATAAACATCGATTAAAAATGATTAAAACAAAAAGCAAACGGCCACCTCGTCTCCAACCTCGCGCCGCCGGTCGCGTCGCGCCCGTCCAAGGCGCCAAGAAGTCGGTGACGTAGGTGCGCTGGCGCGTGCGCGTGGAGCGTAGGGACCAAAGCCACCAGACGTGGGAGAACTCCTGAGACGTGCAGATGTGCTGAGAGCGGGTGAAGGGGCGGTCAAAAGAACAGAGCGGGTCGAAGGACCTGCTTCCGAAGTTCGGGGGGGATGGTTGACTGTTCTCCAAGTCATGACCAAGGGGTCCAATGTCCATGCATATATTGATAATGATGTAACAGGTAACCTCTGAAGTTGAGTTTGTTGGGGGCCGTCGAGGATTCCTTGTGTCATGCATGCTTTCAATGTGTTTTCTCGTCGCCCACAGCAGGATCGCTCGGAGAGCTGAAAGAAAAGGAGCCCCGCCGCCATTCTCTGCGAAAAAGTGAGTGCTTTGTTCAGCGGCTAGGTTCGACGTTCAGCATTTCCCTCAGCTGTTCCATCCTTGACAATCCCGGAGTTTGGACCACATATGACAAAAGGGCGGGAACCTCTCCTCTCCATGTCGCCCAGAAAGAAACAAAACTGACCTGGATGACTGGTCCATCACTCCCCGGAAGGTCAATGAAGGGAGTATGCTAATCAAATGCTAACCACACAGCATCCGCACACCACACCATCTTCATCACTCCATACCCATTGTCTGACAGGTGGACTGTGACCGAGCCCAGCGAATCGAATGGCATCGTGTGCGGGTGAATCACACGGCACCGTCCGTGGCTAGAAACGACTTTCCTCCTCTGGGCTGTCTGATGAGGGACCCTCCAAAACGTTCATGGTGTTTTTTCCCCATTTAGATATTTGGTATGATTGGGCCTCCCTATGTTGAGAGACTCAGTTGCACACCTGGATATTTCCCTGCATGGTAGTGCCATATCCCTGCTGCAAGACAAAGTCTCGGTCAAAGTGGAAGCTCCAATAATGATGATCACATTTAGTGCACACCTGGTGGAAACACAAAACGGGCCAGCCGTCCAAGGTCTTAAACATCTTCATATAAACACTTTTATAAAGTAAATGGGGTGCTCACGGGTAATCCAAAAACACAAGCACGTCATCATGTTAGTCACACTTTAAGAACACACACACACAGAACACACTTGTTCCTTGAGTCATTGCCTTCCAACAACCTGAAGCAACAAAAACATATACAGGATACAAACATGCCCAGGCAAAGGATGGATGTTCGCACTGGCGGAAAGCAACCCGTACAGGCTTCCAGACTTTGAGCAATACACCCGATTGGGCCAAAAACGGTGAGTTTAAGCACCACAAAAGGATGATTCTTGACACTTCATCTGTTGGTATAGGATTATAGATGATTATAGGATATAGCAGTCCCGCGGCCCCTGCTAATGTCTACTTCCTTGAGAAAATGTCACTGGCCCCACAGGCCATGAAAAGTCGCTTGGACGCATTAAAGAACACATCCAACAAATGTAATGTTTTTGAATCCACTTGGTATCCCTGGTGTCACGCCGGCTTGTCCTGCTTTGCTCGTCTTCAAGCGAGCGCAAAACCTTTCCTAAGTCCGTGCCCTTTCGGGACTCGACGCCATTATATAAATAAATGTAACCTCAGCTTCAGCTTCTAGATGTTCAAGGTGGTATCAAAGCTGCATAGACAAATGGAGAAGGAACCATCTGAAGTCGCAACCAACATCTCTACAATCTTAGGCATGGGTGTCAGTCCAGTCTTGATGTCATTTCACCCAGCTCGCGCTTCGTTTCACCAGCGCCGGCGGGTCGCACCTGGGCACGAAGAACAGGTAGGGGCTCAAGAGCAGCAGAATGAGTCCCACCATTCCAGCAGTGAACACATTCCCGCCTGACACGCGTACTTGCACGCGGAAGCTTGCACACGGAAGCATGCAGTCACGTGGAAGTACGCTCGGCTCTTCGTTTGCGGCAATGGCACGCGGAAGCAGAAAACACCCTGCCGAGATCCAAAGGGAGAGTTACACTGAGCACAAATGTGAGTGCCAAGTGCGGAACCGTACCAGATCTCGGGACCTTTTTTGTTGCTGCTATGAGCCTTCTTGCCACTTATTTGATGGTTTGATGGTGTTTGATGTTAAGGAAACCTTTTAACCTCAACTTCACTCGGTATGTGTGCAAATTCTGGCAAGGCTGCTGATGGATGTCTTACAGTAGGTAACCTGAGATGGCATAAAGGACATGTGTACTGTGGACGTATAACTATATATGAAAGTTTCATGGGTAGAAAGCCCGTGAAATTCCCAAGTCCTCAGCACCAGCAGCACCTTCAAATGAAAGCGCCTATCGTGAGACATGCTTGCAAGCCAAACCAACATTCAACAACACAAAGCATGTCTCTACGATGTCTTAGCTCACGAATTTCTTCACAAAGCATCGCTCCTAGCATGTTCTTCACGCCCATGGAGGCTGCAATTCCTGGGACGGACACCACAAGTCGGC